TATTTTTCGTTTAACTTTGTTTAAATAAAAATTACTTTTCATTTTCAAGCAACTTAAAACTAACAAATAAACAGACAAACAACTTCGGCGTGAGTACAGCTAGTAGCTTTTCAATGCGAAAAATTGTAGTATGTAGAAAATTAATTATTGTTTATCTATGTAAATTTAGATTCGCCAATTTTGGGTATATAAGACGTTATTCTGATCTTTCCAAAGGCGATCTATTTAATTGGTAAAATTTTTTACAAATGTTTTTTTAAATTGCACACAATTTTTTAAAGTAAAATTAATGATTTTCTAAAAATTTTAGTAGATTGTTTGAACTTTATTGCTTTGTGTTACGCCAATGATTGAGTTTTCATAGTGAATCGATAAAGAATACACAAAAGTTTTTAGAAAAAAAGGAAGATAGAAAAAATAATTCAAAAGTTTGTTTTCAAACAAACTGCATAGAAAGCTTAGTTTAGTTTAAAATACCAAAAGCATAAAATAAAATATCATTAGTTTTTAAATTTTTGAAGAAATTAAAATAAATAAAAAACAAACGAATTGCGTTATTACAAGGGTTCCCAGACGTACTGATTCTATAAGGGCTGTGCTGATTTCTTAACTCTAGTACTGATATTTCCCATTCCGTAAATCAGTACGCTAAGTCCTGAATTTACAAAAAAAATCTTATTTGTACAAATTTTTAAATATTGCAGTTGGTGAACAAAAAATGTCTACATTACTTCACAGAAGTCATAATTTCACACAAGCTCTTTCCGTCTTTTCATGTGCTTTGAGCTCCCTTCCCTACAAGACATTGCTGAGCACTTTAGGCAAAAATTCTCACACATCTACACTTTTGTTTTTGTAGTACGGCATAAATGAGTAGTTTGACTATTAGTACTGAGGACTTTCTGATGACAACATTGAGGGGAAAGTACTCAATTTTTACCCATGGCCTGAACGAAAATGAGGACTTTGATAAGCACTTTTGTGATTAGGGATAACGATAATATGAGTACTCATATGATACTCAGCTGTCTTGCAGGGTTGTTTCATTCACATACATACATACATATGTATGTGTGCTGTATGCTACTAGTCAAAATTCTTCATTTGATACCCATATTGAGGAGTTTGAAAAAAATATAATTCGCCATTTTAGGGGTGGAGGCGATCTTTGATTTGGAACATTTAACCGTGTACTGTCTTCTGATAGCCAAGCCCTTACATCTGATATTCATATTGAGGGGTCGTGGTGGCAGCCATCTTGAATTTGGAACATTTTCTTAGTGTACTGCATTCTCTTAGTAAAAATCCTTCATTTGATACCCATATTGAGCTTGTAAAAAAATTTGTGGCGGCGTCCATCTTAGATTTACGATGATTGATTATATAGTCATCATAACTTAAATTGTGTACCAAATTTCAAAACAATAGGTCAACAGGAAGGGGGTGAAATTTCAATTACTAGATTAAAAACGGCTTTAAACTAAAAAAAAACGTTAAATTGGTGCTACGCCTATTTTTCAAATTTGGAACATTTGTTTAAACATTTTTTCAAATTAGTTTAAAAAAATTTAGCTATAGTATTTACTAAAATTTTTCACAAATGCCGGTATATGGAAGGTTTCAGTTCAAATTAGCAAATTTTCAACACTAACCCACCTTGGATGAAGAACCACCCATACACCCAATTTCGTCGAGCTACACATGATGTATGTACTGATTTTTCAAAGAAAAAAGTCTGGCAACCCTAGTTCTTAGTAATACCGGATTTCCACTGTGCCCTAAATGATTACTTTTAACAAAAGTTGCGATCCCGTACGAGTCCGGACTAGACAGAATCAGTCAGATTTTATTGGAATTCGATCCCGTACTCGGTTCTGTAACTATTGAGAGGACAAAAAAGAGAGTAAATAAGGTCCTCTCTCTGTCAGAAGTTCCCAGTTTTAGTCCGAAGATTTTTTGCTGGCAAGTTCTAGTAAATTTGTCAAACGATCAGCTGTAGTGTGTTTGGCAATCAAATTGTAAACAAAAGAAAAGTGCACTCTGCTAATACATGTTGAAAAGTATTTAATTACTTGTTTAAGTGGATTTTTATCAATTTGAAAGTATTTTTGGTTATTTATATGTGTGAGCTGAGTGTGTTTACGTATAAAATAAGCAAAAATTTACAACCAAAATTTTGAGGTTATGTTGAAGTTGACAGCAGTTGGCATATTTTACCAGAAAGCGATCCCGTACTTTCTCGCTCTCAGCGAATTTTTATTCTTTGACAGTTTTACTAGTTTTAGTCCGAGGAATATGGGATTGCACCTAAAGATAGGCAAAAAGTCGTTACCAAATGGCATGGCATTTCAAAGTGGAAATTTGGCAACTTAATTATAGAAATAAATTAATCAAAACATAAAATAAAATCAAGCAAAAGAAACAAGAAAAATCGAATCATAAATGAAATTAATATATGTATATATATGTATGTAGTTAAATATACATATATATTATACGCATAAGCCCTACGAAATTGCCCATTAAAAATAATTGAAATCGCATTTTTGTCATTATTACTTTATTTCCCATGAATTATTATTAAAGCCAACTTGGCTTGCTTGAGAGTTTATGCATGTGTGATTATAAGTACGTACGTACATACATATGTATGAAATATGTATAGTTTTTTTTCATGAAATAATTTTGTTTTCCTTAATTTTTTACATACACACATACCATACGTATGCCTAGTTTAATGATTTGCGTGAGTACTTCACCTTTATCTTAAGCTTTATTTAATTATATATATACATACATACATACATACATATGTACTTAGCTGTAACATCGATATTTGTGTATAAGTTAGAGCTTATTTTATTTCTAATTCTAATTCTGCAGTTTTAAATATATGTAATTACTTCACAAAAAAAAAGGTTCACTGGCGCTTACAATTTAATTATTTTGGCAGTGTTGATGATTTTTTTTGTATTAATTTCTTCTTAATAACTAACACTTTTTCCTGCTGTACGCGTACATAATATTTTTTTTTAATATTGTTTTATGTATTTACAGATTTTCAATTTGTGCTTGCTATTAGATGCCCTACGCATGTATGTATGTAGGTTGTGGATGCAACCAAAAGTGACTGGTTTTAAATTTGGAATTGGAAGAAATATATATATATATATATATTTTTAATAAAATATAAAATACATAATTTAGCATAAAATGCATTATTTTAAATCTTCTTAGAAGATATGTTCGTGTAAAATTTTGTTGAATGACGTGTTGTACGAAAAAAATTACAATTCCATAATTATATTTTCTTGTTAGTTACAACTTTTATAATTAACCGCTATTTAATTAATAATGAATTTCATTAATAATAATTAATAATTCAATAATTCAAAATAATAATTAAATTCAAAGGAAATTTCAACTAAATAGCCGCGATCATAAAATAAGCTACGTTTAATATGGTGAAGAATAATAATGTTTGGCAGTAACTATCATCAATCAATTGAGTACAAGCGTTATCGATACGATTGTCTGTAATTGGTAAGCAATAGTATGTATGTTAATATACAGTGGTGGACAAATAAATGGTGTCACTGCATTTTAACAAATTTTGCCTATTTTTCTATTGTTTATTTAATATGTATTATTTTTTTTTATAAAAGGATAGCCCATTATATAACACAAACCGTATGAATTCGTATTTCAGGCATTGCATGGATAAAAGTGTGTAATACATTCAGAAAAAAAATTATCAAAAATCAACGCGAATTTTTAAGGACTTCAAACTTGCATTTTAAATAAATTTAATGGGCTATAAAACTGCGTACTCACAAAAATTCTGCAAAATCTGATTAAAAATTTTAAAATTTGGATACAATTTTGCAGAATTTTTCTCAACTTTGCACAAAATTTGAAATATGAATTTATATGGGTTTTGTTTTTTATAAAAAAATAATAAATATTAAATAAACAAAAGAAAAATAGGAAAAATTTGTTAATATGTCGTGTCCCTATCTATTTTTCCACCACTGTATGTACATACATGCATATGTACAATATATAACAAAATAAAAGCTATAAACTAATAAGCGCAAAAAATGAGTGATTAGTTTTAGATTAGAATGAGGGTAGGTATTGTTTAATGAACATCTATCAGCAAAAAAGAAACACTAAAAAATTGCATTCGACGCGGAAATTGTTTCAAAAAATTTGTTAAAATCTAAATTTCCGCATTTTACCGGGCGAACAGCGCGCGTACTGCAAAAGTTGCGCGCCCTGCAAGTGTTGCGCTTCATGATTTTTGTAAATTTTCGCAGTTTTCGACTTTCGTACGTGCGTTTCCCACGTTTTGAAAAAAAAAAATTTAAAAATTATGATGCGCAATATTTGCATCATGATGCGAATTATGTTGCTAACCACCTGCTGGGCACTTCTGGGCGCCTGGCGCATTTTCCGCAGCTCATAATCTCGTCGGGGCGGAAGTGGCCACAAAAAGTAGCATACTTTTAGGCGCGTTTTTAAAAGATAGAGAATTTTAAAATGAAAAATGCAGTTTGGTTTTTATTAAAAAATTAGCTTTCATATATTTCGCAGTAATGGAGAAATGTTTCGTTTATAGGTATGTATGCAATATAATGTATGTACGTGTATAATATGTATGCATTTATATGTACCTGCATGATTTTATGTACAAATTATAGTATTTAACTACTTCTAGTGTAAAGTGTAAAATTTATGTACACACATACATACACAAGTATATACGTATGTACATTTGTATCTACATATATGTTTAAATGTACAACACACTCGCATATGTTTCTTATATAATTTTATATATGTACGATGTTTATGCAGCTAGGGAGCAAATAGGCTAAGAGAAAATTACTAGAAAAAAATTGCATCATATTTTTGATGATGAGCCGCGACAAATATCAACTGTGATAAACGGGCAATTCATAGTTGGAAATTAACGCGTCGCGTAAATATTTGTTTCAAAAATTATTTATCTTTATTTGCACAACTAAAATAAGTGTGCGCGTGCAGAAAAAATAAAGTTGCTATTTTACATTTACAAACAAAACTAAAAATTAAATATTTTATAATTTTTCAACTAACGACTAATTCTTGAAAGAAGCGTTGCGGCGCTGAAATACGCATGTCATATACATAGCTATATTAAGTTTAAAAAAAAGTTCTATATGTTAATTGGCAAACGTACGTTCAAATGTGGCTGTGTGTGGCAAAGATAAAAAAATATCCAAAAAAAAAACGTACTAAACACACTAAACTTAACATCTAATGATCTCGGTTTTACTTTGTGATTTTGACTAAATGATTTACTTGCTGAGTTGCTGACGTTCATGAGCATACACACACATTTTATTTTTACTTTACAAACCTTAAATTATACATTTGTTTTCGTATTTTACTTTGTTTTACAAATAAAAATTTATTTAATATAGTGATTAAACAGGCTATCAGGAGTCTTTAAGATTTACAAAAGTTTTGAGCTCCCAATCGCCTGCTCTGCGCAGTGCTGGAAACTTCTATTTTCGTTCTTTTTTATGTATTTACAAAATTTATATCTAATTGCGTTTGTAGGTACGCGAAAACAATTTTATAAAAATTATAACTAACCGATTGCAATAACTACATGCTTATTATTTAAACACATACTTCTGTTCTCTACCAGTCACTGTTTATTTTTTTGTTTTTTATTTTTTGTGTTTTGTGTAAGTAAATGTATGATTTTAATAGCTTAGCATTGCTGACACTTGTTAATCTACGCTATTAACTACGGCACATATGCGTACTTTTTGTTTCAAAGCCTAAAATGTACACACTTCTCTGTATGCGATTTGTACTTGCCATACAAAATACTTAAGATACATTTATCAATTAAAAGTCTTCTGGCATGAAGTTTGTTAGCATTAAATTCTGCACAATTAAATGGCTGATTTATATGTAGAAAAAATCTGTTAAAACTATAAATTTTAACAAAAAAATATCTTACATGTATATATTTACACAAACACAAAGATTTAATTTGTCCATTATTTTCGCAACTTGCAACTTTTTTAACGGGTGGGCTGGTTGGCGCGTTTTATGATAAGGTTGTATTATATAATGTGCTTCGCGATGGCGACTGTAAGCGGAGGATGTCAATGAATATTCGATTATGCTTTGAATTAGTATAAAGGATTTTTTTTTTACTTCACTAGATATACGATCACCGCAAAAAAAAATGAATATTCACAAAAATTACAGTTTTGTTTTACTGTTGTCGTGGAGCATATTTGTCACCACTTGTAACACCTAATTTATGAACTAATACAATTTTCACAGGCTTTAAAACTTTAAGCCACTTACAGTTCACAATTAAGGGCTGGCAATTGCAATTAATAGGCAGATATTTATGTTAAAATAGTTACGCTAATTTGAAACTAAAAATTTACTAAATTAAATGAAATTAATAATTACGCAGTGAACTCATAATATACTTTTTCATGTTATGCGACTATCGCGTATAAAATTGTTTTTTTTTTGTTATTGGTTACAAAACCAATTTAAAGTGCAGGCCAATTGTCTATTTGTAACTGCTAAATATTATTACTAGATTAAAACATTAAAAATGGTAATAAAAAATAATTAAAAAATATAACTCTCTGAACAATGCCGTTACAATTTGCATCTACTTATTTATAACAAAAAATACTAAAAACTTATATGTACATATACATAACTTTGTTGAAGTGCAGTGTTAATGCTTAGCTGGCGCGCAGACTCATCGAAATGGATTTTGTCCGTGCATGTTTTTTTTTTTTCAAATTAACCACCTATTTAGTTTGCGCCAACTTCTGCTAGCACACGAGGATAAACCTTCACCTTTGCATAATTTTATTGGAGATCATTCTGCCGGTGTAACGCGTTATCTATTACTTTGTTCAATATTTATACGCTTAATGGCTTTTCTATGTGTACACGTTTCATCGGTTTACGCGGATGTTTGCGGCGCTGCTGTATTTGCGTGCGGGATATCGCAATTACACTTTGCTGTTGCGAGCTTCGCACCGTTTCTACTAAAGTAGCCACTTCTGCTTCATCTTCGCCATCTAAAGGTCAGCAAAAAGTAAATGTGTTTAAGCCTCACATTCATTTCATTTTTATATTTCGAACAACTTACTATTTCCATCGTCTTCATCGCTGTCATCGGAAGCTTCCCCTTCTTCCTCATCATTGTCATCGTCGAACAGATTTGTTGAATACGGCATTTTGTAAGCAGTCATAAGTAAACTCTCAACCTTGATCTTCTCCGCTGGGCGCATGCGCTTTATGTTAACTGTCTTGGTGTAAGGTCCATCACATGATGGCACCCACTCATCGGAAATGCTATGAGGATTAATAATTATATTTTTTGGACACCTTGGAATGAATGAATGCTCTGTTTCTACATACATTTCATGCGGCGTCCAACGAATGAAACTTTCGTAGGTACCTTGCAACGTTTTGCGTCGCATCATGCATTGGCCCTGGAACGTTATCATATTGCAGCCATCGGAGAGCACGCTTATTTGACGCAAACGATGCTGTAGACCTTCCATTATACCGGCATCAAAAAAGTCGAACATTCGCGCTGTAAAGTTAATATTACTTAATTTTGAAGTACTTAACAATTTATTTATACTTCAATTATAATTTTTTGTTTGCGTAGGGACCAACCCTAACACTTGCCGCAGTAGTTAAGTGGCAACATCAAAACGGCGCAGTAAACGAACAGAGCTGTTTGACATTCGTTTGTACTAACTGAAATCAACTTCATGAATAGGCAATTTACATGATTCAACTTTCGCAGGCGATTAGTTGAACCAAAAGTTGAACGAAAGTAGGCAGCCGACCAACTTCATTGAAAGCGATTAGTTGAAAGGCCGTTTACACCAGGCGATTGTTGCTTTCAACTAAAAATCGCCTGAAAAATCGCCTCATGTAAATTCCCTATTATTCAACGTATTTTTCTAGCGACGCTAACCTCAGAATTTTTTGTGTGTAAAATCAACTTGTATTTGTTTAATTTTTAAGTTAATAAAGACATTTAGAAATAGTATTTCTATAGCTGGTGATCCCACTAATAATATATACTATGGTGAACGAAGGCGAAGATAGATACGAAGACGCTGTCGCTTCTTTCCATATGGCACGGAACTCCATCAAGCCGCCACCGTTCTGGAAGCCAGATACACGCTTGTGGTTCGCATAGGTGGAGGAGCAATTTGTGCGAGCAGGGATTACGGGCGATGAAACGAAGTACTACACAATTTTAGCTGAAATTGATTCAGCAGTTCTCATTCACGCTACCGACATAATTTCATCACCGCCTGATAGGGACAAGTACGACGCATTACAGCAAACACTGATTGCTGAATTTGGCGAGTCGAACGAAAAAAGGCTCAAACGCTTATTTGAAGGCCTCTAATTGGGCGAGAAGAAACCTACTAATTTGCTTCGTGACATGAAAGACTTGAGGCCGGTTGTTCAATGTCTGATTAGGAGGTAGAGGCTCCGGTTAGATACAACGACTGCTTTATCGATCACATGTTATATGCATGATGTCTAAATCGTTGATAATGATGTTTAACTGGCAAGTAGTGATAAGTAAGAGGCATCATAGCATTGAAGAAACCGAACGAAGTCCACGAACTGAGATTTTCAGGGACCATCAACTCTACGAACGTTTTTTAAAGCATACTGCCGCCATCGAAGCGCCACTACAGCGACTCATGGGCATGGGACAGTAGAAGGCTTTCGAAAATCTTAAGAGGCAATTAGCGGCAGCTGCATTATTGGATTCCCTGATGAAGAGCGCGACAATCGCTCTCATGACCGACACTTCGGACATCGCCGAAGGTGCCGTTCTACAGCAACGGGTGAACAATGTTTGTGTGCCGTTGGGATTCAACTACCAGAAGTTTACACCAACCGAGAAGCGGTATAGCACATATGAATGGGAGTTACTTGCCATATATAAATCTGTGCGGCATTTTCGTTCATAATTTTTGGAAGGAACGAATTTCGCAATATTTACAGATCATAAGACGCTCACGCATGCACTCGATCAAAAGTGGGAAAAACTATCCCCACGGCAAACTCGTCAATGGAATTTTATTAGCCAGTTTTCGTCTGATATACGGCACTTAAGCGGAGCTGAGAACCTTATAGCCGACACGCTATGAAAAATCGAAACGTTTTCGCTACCATCGTCGATAGACTTGCAGCTTCGTTACACCTGGTCAAAAGTCAGCTTCCGGGTACGAGCATACAAATCATTTGCGATAACTCAACGGTAACACGTTGCCAACATGTTCCGGATTTTTTGCGACAGGTGGTTTCCAATGCGGTCCACGGTTTGGCACATCCTGGTGCAAAGGCAACAATAAAACTTATTTCAAAGAGCTTTGTCTGGAAAGGATTGAACAGTGATGTACGAGCGCGGGTGCGTAGTTGCCCAGCATGCCAGCGTTGCAAGATAGCGCGTCACACGAAAGGAGAACTACAGAAATGTTTGGTCCCTTGGAAGCGTTTTGACCATGTTAATGTGGACATCGTCCGCCCGTTTGCCCCTTCGCGCGGCACTACTACTTAACCTGTGTCGACCGTTTTTCACGATGGTTGGAAGTTATCCCTATAGCGGACATGACCGCTGAGACAGTGGCAAGAGAGCTTTTAAACGGTTGGATAAGCTGGTTTGGTACGCCAAAGTACATTACTACTGATCAAGGGCGTCAGTTCGAGAGTGCGTTGTTTAAACAACTAGCCATGCTATTAGGCGTCAAACACATCCGTACCTCGTCTTTAACGGTACCTGTACCAAGACGTATACAATATTGTTTGGATCAAGACAAGTGACGGTGTCCATTGACAGGCTTAAGTCGGCTTACTCGTCCCTGGAGGAGTTAGCAGCGATACATCACCAACATACACAACTAACACTTGCCCGTTCCCACGACAGTCGGGTCTACGTAACCGGAGCGCCCCAGATTTATATCTGGCCAAGGACTGTCACTTCAGCAACACTTCCCAAAAACTCTTTGGGGGATTTGTATGCTATTACAACAACAACTAATGTGTAACATCAACTTGTATTTGTTTAATTTTTAAGTTAATAAAGACATATAGAAGTAGTATTTCTATATTTGTATGAAAGGGCCAAATTCACATTGCGTAGTAAAATCACAATCGGCAGTTAACTACAGATTTTTAGTACAAAATTATCTGTACTTACCTGAAAACGGTTGACGCCGATAGCGCAATTTTTTTCCATTCTTCCGCAGCTGCTTGGGCACTGGCGGATCTGAGGTACGCTTGTTTGAGCTCTCCTTATTTTCAGTGGCCGTAAAGTGATTATTTACGTGTTTTTGCAGAGCCAGCTACAAATGAATCCAAAATGTGATTATTAGTTTTTGCTCATTTAAATGCTTAGTCAACCACATTTACCTGCGATCCAAAACGCAGCCCACAACCTTCGACAATGCACTTAAATTGCTTCGAACCGCCATGCGATAGCACATGGCGTTCCAACCAGCGGCGCGAACACGACTCCTTGTTATAAACCTTACAACCGACCCATAGGCATGAGAAAGGACCAGTTTGTGTATTGACATGATGTGTCTGCATATGATCCAACAATTTTGAACAGCTATCATGCTTCTTATTGCATTTATGCCAGTAACAGACGCCATCATGACGTTTAGCACCTTTCGGACCATAGCGAAAACCGCCCGTTTCAGCAGGGAAACGTATGGTTTTTGGCTGAGAAAGTATTGGCGAGATGGCGCACTTAGGCAGCGAATCACTGGTAGATTCAGCGAGTTTAGTGTCGATGAGGGTAGGTGTAGAGGTGAAGCTGTTACTGTTGCTGCCGCTGGACGTTGACTGATGTTCGCCGGCGCTGCTGCTGCTGCTGAGACTGCTACTCGTGCAGCTGTTGGAATTGCTGATATCGATGCCATTCGGTAAACTAAGAGCAATGGGCACGTCGATGTTGGAGGTAGAACTTGTAGTTGCATCTGATGAGCAGACGCCACTACTTATATCAGCGCCGAAAATTGGGGCTGGCGAGACCGGTGATGGTACACTGCTGTTAATAGAGTTGTTATCGCTGGAGGCGGAACGCAAGCAACCAATACTATGACTGGCACTATCAGCGCTGCCTGCGCTCATGGTAGACAGCGGGGTGGGTGGTGGCGAATTCGAGTCGATCGAATTGATGATGTTGGCAATAATTTCCGCTTTACTGCTATTATTGGAGCTAAGCAAATTAAATATATATTAATCAAATTTTAACGGGATAAAATCTCTAAGCAAAACTTACATAGAACTAACGATGGATTCGCTGCTTTCACTAGCCGTCAAACTTCCTCCAATTCCTGACTCTGGTGTAGGCAAATCGCGCTTTTCACTTATTTCTTCATCCCCATTGTCATCTTTTTCTACATCTTCGAGTCCGGCTGTAAGCGATTTATCATTTGCCGTTGTGCCATCAGCCGAATTCGACATATCTGAAGTTAGATTGGAAGATATGCATGAAGATGTCACCAATTCACTAAGCATATCCCTTCCTGTAGCCGCGGTAACACATGATGCTGATGATTCTGAGCCAAGGGATGCCGAATTCGATTCACACGGCTGTGGCGGCAATGGCGGCGGAGAGTTGCGCGGTGACGATGGCGATGGTGAGGGTGCAGAGGAACAGGAGGCAGATAGGGAGGAGAGCGACGGTGGGGTAGATGCTTCCAGCGAAAGATCAGCTGCCGAAGATACGGAATTCGAGTGGGAGCTAAACGAATACGATGAACATTCATTTGCATGCGTTATGCTGTTGGCTATGCTGGTCGATGTGCCACTGGTTGTTGAGGGATACATTTTAGTAGTGTCCTCCATTAGTTCAACCTTAATATCTGCTGGTAGCATTTGAGTATGCGACGAGGCCTTAAAGCTTTCCAATTTAATTCCACTATCGGAAGTATTGGCAGAGGAGAAAGCGACAGCTTCGTCCAATGGCTCCTCTTTAATTTTCGGGCAGAAACTATCGATCGATGTGGTATTCGAAGTGGAGCAAAGGGAAGGTGAGGACGCGGATGAATATGATGACATTGGTGAGTTGCAAAACGAGGGCAATAGCGAAGAGCACTTATTCAATGTATTATTGCTACTGATGTTTTTGCTGTTGCTGCCTGTAACGGGCACAGAGATTGAGACTGTGCCATTCGAATTTTTAACCATGTCGAAGAGATCAGGGGTTGAAGGTATGGTGGTGGTTGAAGTAACGGTTGTGCTAGCGACGATTGTTTTCGTTGTTGGAGGAGTGAACGAGACTGCTGTTGTTGCTACTGCTGAAGATGCCGTGATTAATTTGGGAGCGAGTGGCGGCAAGGTTGGCAATTTCATGGCACTCGGTATCACTGCCGCATTAGTTGTGCTCGGCGCAGTGGTTTTTGTGGTGTTCATAGCCGGAGCAGGTGCAATGCTTATGAGCGCCGGCGTAGGCAATCCAGCAACGGGTTGCAACTGCTTTGTCATCGCAGTGCGAGTGGTAGGCGATGACGTCATGGTGCCACAACCACCAGTGCTGCTACTTAACGCTGGTACCAAGGGTGGCGGCGTTGTTGGAGTAGCAATGATTTTACAACCACCAGAGATTTTCGCCTTTGTACTCGTCAGCGTCGTTTTGCATGGCGCGGGCGCTACTGGTACCGGAGCTGGCGCTACCTTTGGCATTCGCTTCTGATACGGTTTGGTATGGGCAGCTGGCTTACTGGTTTGTGTATTGCCAGGAACATTGGCGGTAGTTGCTGGCGCTATTGCCGTGGTGCGCGTTTTTCCATGAGAAATCGTCACCAGCGGCGGCGGTTGCGAATTGAGAGTTGTAAATTGTTGTGGAACTGAAGAGGCAGTAGTTGCTTTAACGATTGCCAGTTTGGCAGTGTTTGCGCTGTTTGCTGCAGCAACGGTAGTGGTCGCATTAACTGGCAGTGTCGTTAATGTTGCCGTAGACGATGGCGACGAAGTAACATTTACAGCGGACAAGGGTGGGGGTTGAGTTGCTGTTATAAACTGCGGCTGTTGCTGCTGGTGTTGTTGCTGCAAAAATGCTAGAAGTTGTTGCTGCTGTTGATGGAAGTCGGTATGCTGCTCATGAGCGGCTTGGGCCTGCTGCTGTCCGGCACCAGCAAATATTGAACTTAGAGCGGGAAGCGCACTTGGCTGTATCGGTTGAAGTGCGGGCAACTGCTGTGGTTGTTGTATTTGCACTTGCTTCTGTTGTTGACTGTTGTTTACGGCCAATGCCGCTGCAGCTTGTGCCAGCATAGCCGGTAGTGAGGCCGCGTTTAATATCAGGCCAGCTGGGGTGGCCATGAATACCGGTTGCGCAGCTGCAGCGCCCAATCGTTGTAATTGTTGAAATTGCTGCTGTTGCTGTTGTTGTTGCTGCTGTTGATTCGCGGCAATGGCTGCAGCGATTTGTTGCTGGAAGATCTCTTGGAAACTTGTGTTTGTGGCCTGTGCCGTGGCCGCAGCAGCAGCAGCAACAACTGCTGCTTTCTGTTGTTGTTGTAATTGCAACTGCTGTTGCTGCTGTTGTAACTGCTGCTGCTTAATGAGTATCTCTTGAAGGTCTGCGGCAGTCATCAAGTTGAAAGGATTTGCAGTGGCGGCGGCAGTTGCAGCAGCAACCGCCGAAGTTGCCGTTGTGGTTGTTGCAGTGGTGAACTGCTGGAGCTTGAAGACCGTACCATTGAGGAAGTATTGTGCGGCTGCTGCCTGCGCCGCTTGTGCTGATGTCGCAGCCGCAGACGCTGCTGGGTTGGCATTTTTAGCTGCTGTGGCCAAGTTGTTTAGCTGCATTATATTTGCACCATTTGTGGCAGTTAATAGCTGAGGCAATTGGACTAGATTCGGTAATTGCACTGCAGGCAGTTGATAGAGCGCCTGGGCTGCGGCGGGCGCAGCTGTTGTTGTGGTAGCAGTGGCTGTTGCGACAGGGGCCAATTTCGGAGGACTTACTGCTTGTTTCAGTTGTGTGGACGTCGCTGCCGTAGGTGTACTTGTCGTAGGTAGACGTATGGCAGTAAGAAGTACTGCTGGTTGATTTGTCGTCACCTGCGTGGTAGCTTGCTGCTGCGTAGCGCCCGTTGAAGCTGCCTGTTTCGCAGCGGCTTGTTGTTGCATTTGTTGTTGTTTCATTTCAGGCGTGCGTGGCGCAATGGCAACGTGCTTCTTAGCTGGTGATTTACCGGTGCCGCTGCCATGGTTTCCCGAAGCGGAGGGAGTTTTTCGTAAATTAGGAGCCACTTGTGCGATTTTGGTGGGTTTACTGCGTTCAATCTTTTTCAAAGCAGGCACCGGCATCGTCGGCAATGCAGTTGCAGGTGCAAGTGTGACCACACCGCCTTTAGCAGATGAAGACGTGGATGTTGTTTGGGCTAAGGATGTTGACGCCGGTGGTGAAGCTGCAATAATGCTACTATTTATTGATGTTGCTGATGAAACTAGCGTTGGCTTAGTTATAGTGCCGCTGCCGTTACAGTTACTGTTGCGGGTACTATTGAGGGTACTATTCTCCTTCAACTGCGCTAATATGTTGAAATATTTATTAAGAGAGGCGGTGGTAGCAGGCGCACTCATTGTTAGTGAAGTAGTGCTCATACCCCCGCCCGACGAACTGCATGCCGCGATTAGCACCGATTCCATATTGCGCTTAGCTAGATTGTTTTGATGGTTTTGAGACTTCATTTGTGACTTAAAGTAACCTGTAATTTTCGTCTGTGATTCTTCCAGTGCAGCCGCTTTCAGCCTTTTTGCAGCGCTAACTCCATTTGCACTGGAGGCTGCACCGGCGTTGGAACCACTTGCCGCGCTATCAGTAGCTGTGTTCCGTGCTTTTTTGCCTGAGCTATTATCAGATGATGTCACGCTAACGGCACTGCGTTTCTTATTAGGCTGTGTAGACCCCGATAAGTTGGTTGGTAGAATTGTACTATTATTTGACGCATTATTCCAGGGCCATTGAAGAGTAGGTAGGACATTGCGTCCGTTGGCAGTGTTATTACTTTTATTTTGTTGCTGTTGTATTTGTTTTAATTTGGCAGTGTTGTTGCTGTTATTGCTATTTGTTCCTGTGACAGTGAGTGCATTAACATTTGTGCCACTAGTAGAAGCACTGGAACTTCCATTTGTCGCGTGTCCGTTGTTGGCGTTGTTATTCGCCGCGGCCAATATTGTTGTTTGTGGTGGCATGTTTCTTTGACTTTCAGATACGCTATTAATGGCCTTGGCGGGCGAATTGCTTTGCTGTTCGTCGCCTATTGTTGAGTGTTGACTGAACGGAGAACCCGGTTCAGAAGCATCTTCGCTAGATCCAGTGCTAGAATCCGTACTGCTCAATGATATCACGACACCACTGGAAAGAAAAAGAGATAATTTAGATTGATTTGTTTAAATGCGCAAGATTATGCTACTGAAAGACACGCCCGTTCACTTAGCACTCACAAACCTATCACTCATGGTGGACTAGAATGCAAGCACCTATTAAACCATACTTTTTATAGCGGCAGATTCTAATTGACTTTTATTACTTTTTCATTAACAATTTGGCTTTAGTAAACTGAGGACAGGCGCTTTTGACCCATGCTTTTCAACAAATAAATCTTCACTTTTTTTTCACTTTTCCCCCAAGCCAACGCTCTAAAATGACAGAAAAGGTAAACAAAATTTGGCATTGCAGTATCCACAAATTTTCGTTCTTTTGACATTTCTCTTTGCGACGCTTTCTTTGTTTTGGGATTAAAACGCGCTGGCGCGAGCAGTTAGGGATCAAAATGCAAATCGGTTTGGCAACACGAATGTTTACAAACAGCTGATTGCGCGCTTGCTAGCCTTTTGCGGCAGATGGCGCGAGTTTACGGCCAACAGATGCCGCGCGCTGCGCTTTGTATAGGAAATCGATAATTTAACACATACATACTTTGCAAATTGTTTACCCTTCAAACCATTTTTTCAGAGTATTCTGAATTGTAAAGACATTTTAAAAAATTCGTAAAGATGTCATCCGAATTTTTTTCAGAATTTTCTTTGTTTTTCGTACAGGAATTTCTTTACGAGTTTGTGTCGACCCCTTGATATAATTTTCATATATTCATATATTTCACATTTATTCTTTATTTAAAATTAGTACAATAAGACTGTCTTTTGAAGTACAACAGCAATATATGCATGTATGTAACTAAACAGATTTTGAGGTTATATTAATACAGGAATGATATTAGATCTCAGTAAATAAGATGTACAAACTAAAAATTATGGACTAGATAAAAACTTGAAGATTCGTAAAAAAATCGTTACAGAAATGAGATACTCCTAAAGATTTCAGGGACTTTGGTTTGAAGGGTCGTTATAATTTATATTTATTTGTATTTATAAATACGCTAAAAAAACTGTGCGACTAATCTCTGAAGAGAGTATTCCGAGATTACTCTCAATCGGGTACAATTGGGCATTAATTAGTGGCAACTAGTCTCATACGGGTCATTATGGAGATCAATTAGTCTCGACTCATCCCTTATGGGTATAATTAGAGGTCAATTATTCCCCGACTAATCTATAACGGCTACTATTAACGATTTAATGATATGTACCTACTTAAGGCAAGTTACGGAAATTAAGTCTAGACTAACTAAGCTTTTTGTCAATAAAATTTCATGTGTTGCCTAACAAAACCGAGAATCCCGGTTTTTTAAAAGTGACTAGTTACTTTACACGCGTTAAGGTATAAAGGGGAACAATTAGTCTCTTCATAGGACATGCTCGAACAAAAGCGAATAGTTCATTCCATATAAAGAGATCAAAAGTGGTATTAGTCGCATGTTCCTTTGCGATTGCTGCCGGAGTCATCCCGGATTAGTAGCATTTTTTGCAAGGTATGTTATACCCCTATGGCGTAAAAAATATAACTAATAGAAAGACGGGTTTTGTTGTTACGGCATACAAGTTCCCCCAAGGAAGGGCCGTCGAAAAAGCATGTGATCAATTGAGAGTTTTCCGTATAGGTTTTTTTTAGGTTAGCACNCTTTTGAATTGATTTTTTCGCTCTATTTTAAACTGATTTGAAATTTTAAAAATTGCCTGCACATCAGCATCAAAATACCTTTCTAATGATATATAACTGTTTATACCTTAGAAGTATAGTTTAGCCGTAAAAGGGGTGTAAAGGAAACATGATTGCCTATTTATATATATGATTAGTGATTAAAGCCTATGACGAAGGAGCAGTTTCTAGCGGAAATATCGAAAAATATGTGTTCACACAGGGTCAGTGCCAATTGATAGAAAAGAGGAAATTTTTACGGATCAAAGTAAAAATTTGACATTTCTCATGACATATCGCGCGATCGTGGTGATATTTCAGGCCCCTAAAAAATCCCGGGCCCGGGGGGATTCCTCCCTTCTCATCTCTAGACGGGCCTGCCCCTAGGAGTTTTTGGGAATGATGTTGGAGTGAGAGACCATGGCAGGATATACGTACATATGTACATATGTAAATCTGGGTCGTTACGGTTATGTAGACCCAACTGTCGTGGGAATAAAAAGGCGTCGTTGAAGTCGCAGTAAAGAGTGAAATGTTAACATAGAAGGCGATGATGACGTGAACATATTTATGTAATCAAGTGGCAGAGGCAGCTGCAAGCAGTGGTAGGTGCACTGAAAGGACGACAGATAAACGCGAAGTGTAAAAAGGAAAAATAAAATGGTATGTTCATATGTTTGAAAGCACATACACGTACATACATACATATACATATGTACATATGGACATATACATAAAAAAGGATAAAAGGCGAAGAGGGTCCTTTTGAGAATAAACCAAAAATGTATGCACATACATATGTATGTTTGAAGCACACACACATATGTACATATGTATATAAACGGATGCTAAGAGAAGAGGGTCCTTTTGAGCATCAAACAAAAAAAGGACCAAAATGCAAGGCAGGCGATGTGTGATGAGGTTTTGGGTTTGCATTATCCAACGTGAGTAGTTGGAAGTAAGTGTAACTTTAGTACCAGTGTTGATTTGTTGTGGATCAACAGCATCAAAAGTGATAAGAAGTAATTCAAAGCACCCACGCTTGTTGTTGGACATCGGTCGATAAGCGCTGACGTGAAACAACCAATCAGCGAAGCCAACTCGTGGGGAATCCCCCGATTTGCGGGGAGTTCCAGTTTGCGTGGCGAATCGGGGAATTTCAATTCTAGTATAATAATTCTAGTATAATAAAGTTTCAAATTGCTAAAAATTACCGTTGATTTTTCAGAATTTTCTTTGTTGCGTTTGCTTTCATATAGCGAATAAAAATAATTTATTTTTATATGGAAAAAAAACCGCAACAACTTCGGAAAAAATCTTAAAACGAAAATTTTTAGCCATTTGAAACTAGTACGTTATTATTTTAGAATTGAGTGGGCTACAAAACTGCATACTCAAAATATTTCTAGAAAATCCAATTAAAAAGCTCAACATTTTTACGAAAGTTTGTTGAATTTTTCTAAAACATTGCACAAAGTTTCATACTTGGATTTATACGATTTTTGTTAAAGAATCAACTATATTTCTACAAAAAATAACAAAAAAATAAAAACAATTATTGGTGCAAGTAAAATGTTTTCGACCACTGCATGTATGTACATAAATATTACATAAATATTTTTTATTCTTTATTTGTTAAACTAACTTTATAAAAGTTTGGTGTGGTTTATCAATATCTACATCAATTTTAATGCTTTCACTCCCTTGAATTGTTTTATATCGAAAAAATATACCCCAGTTTTTAACTGGAAATCAAAAAGTATTTAGAGGTCGCTCAAAGCGATCAAAGTTTTCCATGCATCTTATATGGGAAAAAACAACTTTTCGTAGAAATGGTATAGAATTCTTGAAAATCAATATTTTTCGATCGGAACACTCTGGTTCGCTTCAGAAGACTTCCAATAACAATACCCAATTGTTTATTTAACAAATTTTTTAATATTAAAGATTTTTTATTGGTCCCCCCATTGCATTTTCTGGCATTTTTTTGGTGGTTTTGTGGTGGGCCTACAAATTGTAGTTACCATGAAAAAACGGTTAAATAAATAATTGGATATTATCATTGGGAATTTCCAGAAGAGAAACAGAGTTTTTTCCTGTAGAAAAATATAGATTTTCAAGAATTCTATGCCATTTCTACGAATAGCGGTTTTTTCCATACGTACATGGAAAACTTTGAGCGCTTTGAGGGACCTGTAAATATTTTTTGATTTAAAAATAAAAAATCGGGGTATATTTTTTTCGATATATTATTTTCGAGCATAAAATTCCGACTTTACTTCTTCACATGCATTTTTGGATCACCCTAATGCGCAAAATATTTAACTGACAAAAGCCGATGTATGTGAGCTCAGGATGTTTGCTGCCAGGTTCATACGTAAGGATGTACATGTGTATGTATGTACCTACATATTTAAAACGGTTCTGCTTCAATTAAAGTCAAACGCATTGCGCAAATGATCGACGATTGTGCACGATACAGGCAGTCGCGGTATGATTAAATATTGTCCGATTTTTGTGGGTGTTCAAGTATACAAACATCTGTGTGTGATATTAGAATAACAACTATTACTGTGGCCTAATACGGTGTTTACATGAGGCGATTTTACAGGCAATTTTTAGTTGAAAGCAACAATCGCCTGGTGTGAACAGCCTGTCAACTAATCAGTTCCAATAAAGTTGGGTGGCAGCCAATTTTTTATCCAACTAATCGTTTCTAAATTTGTCTGTAAAATCGCCTCATGTAAACACCGTATAAGCTTACTTATAAAAACGATGTACGTTTTACGCTGTGTAGGTATGTATATAAATGTAAGGATGTACTTAATTTATTATTATATTTTTCTATCGCAGTAGGAGCCGTTTATTAACTCGCTTTGTTCTTGTCGCTTGAAAATTTCTGCAAACAAATAGGCGTGCTATATACATACAAACATACATACATATATGTACATATACATTTTTTATCTGTGACTTTAGTCCTTCAATTTCCGTGTGGGCATGTGGCGTTCTCAGCATTTTTGCCTCTCAAAATAATTTGCTCTATGCCCAATGAATTCCATACAAACATACACTCACCCAGTTGTTTAAATGTTTGCATGCACATTAGACCGTATCACCTTAAAAAAAGTTCCCCGAATACCTCTGACTCTTAAAATATTTCTGCAATATAATTTCGAAAAAAACAATTTTTTTCCCGACCCCTAGCACCTTTTTACTTTTTTTCAACAACAATTTTATGTATGTTTTTAAAATAGGTCTACAGGATAATACATTTTTATTTTTTTTAAGTTTAATGATTTTTGGAGAGCTGTAATTTAATTTTCATCCAATCATAAGTGGGCGTGGCTATCCCTCATTTTCCGAAAACAATTTTATGTATGTTTTTAAAATAGGTCTACAGGATAATACATTTTTTTTTTTTAAGTTTAATGATTTTTGGAGAGCTGTAATTTAATTTTCATCCAATCATAAGTGGGCGTGGCTATCCCTCATTTTCCGAAAATTTATAAAATTCTTATTTTTCGGCTAAAGTGCATTGTCAATTTTCCACAAGTGCGCTCGGGTATAAAAATTTGAAATTGCCTTGCAGAAATACTTTACCCTGGGATTGTGAATTTCACATTTAATACATTTAAATTGTTGAGTTCCGCTTAAAATTTTAAGAGAAAATTATCAAATTTATAGCCCAATTCTGTATCGGTGACAAATTTTTTTTTTACTGACAAATTTAAACTTTTCCATATATTTTTCCGTAATAAAAACTGTGACAAGAATTTGTCAGTGATACAGAATAGAGCCGTTAATATAAATGAAATAAATAAAAATTTAATAAAATGCATCGAAAAAACGAATAATCAAAATTTTTTTTATAAAAAACTTATTGTCCCAGAACTGTCCAAAATGGAACTTGTTCACTTCGTAGGACATCGCCATGTAAAAAAGAGACAGTTGAAAGCATTGCGTTGGGATAGGATAGAGATCGAGAACCAGTACCGCCATTTAAAGTGCTTGTTCTGCGCTAGTTCTGAACTAGCGCGATTTACTGCAAGGTATGTATGTCTTCTGTGCCTTTTTGTTAACTGCACGCTTCCATCTCTGTTGGTTTGATTCCGTAAAATCTAGCGAAAAAGGTAAATTTCTCTGTGTGTTCGCGATGGCTGTACATATATGTATACATACATGTGTAGTTAGATTATTAAGAAGCGGGTTGTAGAGCAAGGCGATTTGAAGAAATGGGGCCGTCATACAGATTTATTTCCTACTCAGCACAAAACGAGAAACCTTTTTTATATGTATGTAAATAAATACATATGTAAATATGTACATACATACATATGTTGGCATACAATGCTTTTGAGAAAAAATCTAACAGAAAATGTCCTTTTAAGTCAAGCATATCGAGATCCATCGGGCACAACAATCTAAGTTGAGTATGGAAGCAAAGCGAATGGACTGATGAAAAATCCACTGTCATCGAAAAAACACTTGGCACATTCACACACTGTTGACAGTTGACAGTAATTTTGAAAAAGTAGAGGACTTTTCTTGGGGTTGCCGGCATTCTTCTTCTTATTTGGCGCTGTAACCAACTAAGCCCTTTTCGCTGAGTTGAGCATAGCACGCCAGTGAAGCCAAGTTCTTCTCCACTTGGTCTTTTCATCGCCAGTACTAATATCGTGCGACTTTTTATTACAAATTTTCGCCTGCGGCGCTTTTTTCATAAAAGACGATATGTAGTTCGACAAATAATGAAAATTTTTTAACAAAAAATCGCCCGATTTTTTATTACAAATTTTCGCCTGCGGCGCTTTTTCATTAAAATCTATACTTCGATAAATCATTCAAGTTTTTAATAAATAATCACGTTTTTAGACTCTGGAGCTTTTTTTTTTTAAATCAATAAATCGATATACATATAATAAAAAAAACCGTATTATGTGCGTTTTTATTATTGCCTGTCTTCAGTGTTTTTTTTTTCTGTTTTTTTTTTGTGGTCAATTTTTGTTATTTGTGGCAGCATCGACATTTCAGTTCAATTGGTCTACAAAGCAAAAAGTGAGGTTGAATTTGAAATTTTTTGCAACTTTAAATGCAAATTACTTAAAAACTATAAGCCTCCGGAGGATGGGGTTTTCGGATTTAGAATCAGGGGGACCCGCCCTACACCACCTGATTTTTATTTTTTCCAAAGCCTGATTCCGTATTGGAAAATTTTCCCTACATAATATATTATATTCACAAATAAAAACTTATTGTAAAAATTCTAAAGTTGTTGTAAAAAATCTAAAGTATGTATGTACATATGTACATACATACATGTATGTGTATGGTTTGGATAATGTGGTATAGCCTTTTTCTTGTCTTGGGGCCACTCTCGGATTTCTCCGTTTTTTGGCATCTAGAACGACCGGTATTCAAAATTTGCAAACAAACTGTAATAAAATCTCCAAAACATAAATTGCGAAATGAAATTTTTAACTTACATTTGCAATATTAACAGCTTCTTCTTTCTACATATTTTTTTTTTATAAATTCGATTTCTTGCAGTTAAAAAAAAACTTAAACACAAATTTTTTTAAGTCATTACATGTTAAGGTGATAACAAACGTTGCAGACTTGCTATAATTGAATATAGCAGACTTTACAAAAAAATAATTTGAAAGTAATTTTTACCTTGCCAGATTATATTGGGCTTCAGGTTCTCCTTTATTGACATTTTGTTGAACTTTTTAATTTATTTATTTTTTACTAGATCCTTTGTATTTTGTTTTAATTTTTAATAATTTTTCGTGCATTTCTTAAGGTTATCGGCAGTAAATCAATTTCCCCTGCCAGTGTCTGAAACACTAAAAGTTTGTTATGAAAATAAATACCTACATATACACATAATGTTATTTTTTGATTAAAAACTTTTTCGTGAATTTTTGCAAATTTCTAAACATTTGCGGTTTCTATGTGTGGGAACGTTTTTTACGTTGAATGTTGAATAAATTAGTTAAGTGTTTTTGTTGTTTTGCACTTGACGTTATGGCTGCGATTGTCGATTTTCGTACGTTTTTCGTTATGTATTCATATTACACTTTATTTTAATTTTATTTTTAAGCTGCCATCAGTTCATGCATAAAATTTGTAATTATTGCACATAGGTATATTTATTTTACCGCATTGTCACGCTATTTGTGCACCACTTAATATTTTTCTAACAAGTAAATTATTATTAAGTTTTATTTTGCTCCTTAATTTCAAACATTGAATTAATTTGAAATGGTTGTGCACTTATTTTTAACATTTAAATTTGTTGCTGCTGGTTAACGTTGTTGTTGCTGCTGTTATTGTCGCTGGCGACGTTCTGCACACATGGAATCAAGATGCATAAATTATGCGGCTGGGGCAAGCAGGCTAACATGCATCCATTTGTACATACAAACATACTAGCTACATACACATGTAAGTATGACTAGCACTTCACTACATACTATAAGTGCGGCCACTATTTGTAGCCACTGTTAAAAAAGCCGACGGAAGCGGAAGTCGTTAAGTGCTTTTGCACTCGGCTTTTATTAACATATTTATTGGATTTTAGTGGTATTTTTGTTCTTTTACGATTTTATGCTTTTAACATTTGTAATTTAATGGTTTTTATTTGTTATTTTTAATACAGTAGACTTCTTCCCAGTGGTTTCAATCATTTATTTTGTATGCGACCCCCTATAGAAGTGTGAACTTTTTAATAAATTCGTTATTTTTATTCTACACATTATGGCAATATAAAAATTATTATTACAGTAGCAGTACAAGAACCGTTGCAATAGGTGTGAAAGTTTTGTGAATACAATTGAGTTTTGCCTTCAAAAAAAAAAAGTTTGTTAAATAAATTGAACTAAAAATTTATTTGTGTACATTTTTAAAAGCTTCATTAAAGACTCACAATTCTTCAAAAATAAAGATTGCTTGATATTTATCACGGAAAGCAAAATAAATATTTTTAAAACAATATTTTAAATATTAGAGCTAAAACTAGCTTAAAAACTTGACATAAACCATTTAAAAGGAACTGTGGTTGAGCTGTGTGAATTTTCATACATACATAATAATTTCTAATTTACACATAAAAGAAGTAATTAAAATGGCTCTACTTAAACATCATCTTTTCCAGAAAAAGGTTTTTAAACATAGTCAATTTGTTCTCTTTTCCAATTGCTCTTAATTTAGTGCTTTAAGCAATCGCATTGCATACCTCAAGGCGATTAAAGCATAAACCCCAACGCATCAAACGAAAATTGCCAACAGAGCGCACTAAGTACGAACATTGAATTGACAGTTAATTTGCCGACGGACAAACGACTTTTGGGCACTGTCAGCTGGTTAATTCAATAATTCGCCGCCGTATTCAAAAATACTTTAATTCAACGCTCGCAGACACTTTGACTTCGGCAGCATGTCAGCACGCCAGCACGCCAGCTAACTTCCTGCATTTGTTTACTAATTTATTGCCGTGCTGTTGTTATTTTTGTTGCCCAAGTTGTAGTAATTAAGCGCATACGGTGTTGACATTTGCTATGCGGTGGATGTGTGTGCGCACACATGTTCCCATGCGTGTTGTATGCATGCACATATGTATGTATGTATGTATGTAGAATGGTGTGACTGCATGTCAGCCGCCGCTTACTAAGCGCATGATGCCACATAACAAAAAAAAAATAACGCGCGTAAAAATAATTTCACTAATAATAATAATCAAAATGCAACAACAAACACAATAATAACAGCAACAACACATCCGTCGCACTAACCACACCGACATACATACTAATAATGAAGAATAACAAATCAAATGTGTCTGCGCTCTTGTCTCGGACCGGGCTGCGCCACGCTGCCACTGCCGTTGTCGTTGTCGTTGCCGTTGCCGCCACCACCCTAATCGGCCTATGACTTTGGTCGACCGAACGGTCGCGACCGTCAAGCCGACCGACCGACCGAATGCTTTCGTGCTGGCGACCATGCGGCCGATCATGGCGCGGCAAGGCAGCAGGGTTCGTCGTCGCCGTCGTCGTCGTCGTCGTCGTCGCTGTTGTTCGTGGAGTGGAGTGCATTGAACGCTTAACAAAATAGAAACCGCACACCGCATACCACCTCACCGCGCTGCTACCAACACTCTACCTTCTTCGACTCATCGTCCAAACGGTAGATGTAGTGGAGAAGGTGGTGGGGGCAGTGGGGTGAGGTGGTTTTGCTGCGCTGCACACGGCTGCATGGGTGCCTCTATGCCACAACAACTTCTGTTTATTACTGTTCTGCTCGGCGTATGCTGCTCACCACGTCTGCCTCTTCGTTAAACTTCACATACATAATTGCCTACGGACATTATACATATATGTATATATGTATGTACGTATGTTTGTGGTTCTGCTGCTTTTTTAGTTGCTCACTATTTTTATGGGGTTTTCTTCTTTTACTTTTTTATTTATGCTTTTCTTTTTTGTTTTCATTTTGTATTAGTAATTTTATTTTTATTGTTGCCTCGGTCGTCACTCTTGCTGCTATGGCTGCTGTTGCAATGGCCCCTGCCTGCATATTTTTATAGTTTTTTTTTTATTATTATTATTGTCTGAAGTTTTTTGACGGTTCTTAAACCGTGCTTTTTCTACGAGCACGAAATTATTTAAATACATACATACAAACATGCATACTCGTATGCCCGTTTTCATATAATAGCCACAGCATTTTTTTATACCTTTAAATATGTACATATGTATGTATGTATGTCTATACGCACACAATAATGCTAAAATCAAAAAAATAAACAAAAAATATAAATTATATTATGATTTAAAGTTTACACCCTAGAGCCCAACCGTTATTTCTTAAGGAAGAGCCACTTAATAGGAATTTTAGGTAAAGCTTTTTGTTTTATTCAAATTGATATGATTTTATAGAGCAAACTTGATTTCCACTAAGAAAAAATTGTTTTATTAATTTAAAATAGTTCCAAAATCTTATAAAAACTAAAGCTGCTAAGTTGGGAATTTCTTCAAGCTCCTGGGTTTCTATGAATACTAAAATCAATTTATTGATGCAGTAGACGTGTTTCAATGCTATTAGGCGTTTGGTGAGTAATCTAACTACCTTGAAAAAAGCTAAATTTCGAAAGAAAATGTGATGGTAAAACTGTTTCCAACAAAATTTTTTCAGACTTTCCAGAAGAATATTTTCTCATTCTCTATTTTTTCGAGTTTTGGAAATATGAAATCCTCCAAATCGTACTACAAAATTAAGTAACATGAAAAAATACAGTCAAAAAAGTTCGTGTTAGAACAAAAAGTTTTGTAGGAGAAAACATATTTCCAAATTAGATAAAAAAAAGTGGTAAATTCTGTGAGTCAGTTTTGCTTTTATGAATTGATTTAATTTTATTTTTATCGTGTGATCCCTGTCAAATTTTAGACGAAGTTTTTCACAAATACATATTTCACGTATCGCTAAAAATTGTATGAACATTCTCCTTAAATATATGTATGTATGTATTATAAAATAAAATCATATTAAAAAATTGTATATTAAAAAAATACAGAAAAACATGTAAATGTTTACTGGCGTGCCAAGAGAGCTAGACTTAAAAATACTTGACCGAAGTAAAGAAAGATCCCCGTTAAAGAAAACTGACAGTGAGGATTAGGTATATTATTGCAGTAATGTGAAAAAAATCTGCATTTCTTGTGTGTAAGAAACCGGCGCTAAATTGAGGCTAAAAATCAAAAGCCAAGTTTGCTTTGCTCTAAGCTCTACAAAATTATAAACAGTATGATTTATTTCGCTTACATACATACATATACATATTACCATAAACTTGTATAAATTTTTTGTGAACTTTAATTAAACGCAGCACTGCAATAAACTCTGTTCTTGTTGTTGCAGCAGTTTTTCACACACATTTCTAACACAAATCTCTTCTACTTTCGTCTTTCCTTTTATTTTCAAAAGCTCCAAATTTTTCATCGAGCATGTTAGTTCCAATTTGCTTGTTGTTCTTGTACATTTATAACCACTTGGAATAGAGGCAGCGGGCTGCAACATTGATGACGGAAAAGAATACACAGCGGGCGACCGTGTGCGCCCTAAGTCACATCAAATAAACCCAAAAAGTAAAATAAAAATGCTCAAACACAATTAAACGCTCACCGACCGACCCATCGACCGTCCGACGGAGGCATATAACGAACGAACGTGCCCTAAAGGCGGCTGCCGCATTGCCCGCCTGGATGGATGTTCATATACATACATATGTACATATAGTTGATCAGCAGATGGATACATGGGCAGCCAGCCAAGGCATTTATGTACATAGACACATACAGACATACGTACATATATTTAGTTAGAACGACCGATAGCCAAGCAAAGCGCCAAGTGCATAAGTTAGTATGCGTGTACCGCATCAAGTAATAATCAAACAAACGAATATATTCCACAGTTAACACACAACGCAACATACATATGTACATAAGTATGCACTTATAAACATAGATAGATATATCTACACATAAGCACTTTCAAATAGAAAAAAAACCTGGTTATGTATCTTAAAAAAAAAAACACTAAACACCAACCATTTATGCTTGCACTCTTTTTATGTATGTTAGTTTGGTTGTCTGTATGAACATACATATGTACATATGTTATAAAGTGTATCCAAAGCGTCAAACAACTAACATACTAAGTTTTCCGTAACAATTTAAAACCAGCGTCCGCACCGTTTTAGGGAAAATGTCTGACTGATTTATAGAATCCAGCCAAGTGACAGTGCAAGTCCCAAAAATTTCATTTCTTCTCATCCGCACACTCAAAATACACACGTACAAGCATACAAAAAGGCAGTAAAACAGCCAACAAACAGTGTGTCGCGTCGCCTTGCAGCCCAGCGCAGCCAAGAGTCAGCCAATGTGCTGAGTATCGAGTTCAGCCGCATAGAGGCGCGTCCGCTCTTAGTTGGTGGCTTGTTGGCTGGTTGCCTGCCTGCCTGCCTGGCTGCCTTCATGATGTAAGGTGAGTGCGTGCGATTGCAAGTAAGCAGGCAACTCCGAGGAACACTCTACCTAAACATAAATTCATATATACTTGTATGCCTATAAGAGCGAGGGCCAAACAAACACACCCAAACCCATGCATGTGTGCTTGCAGCGGAGTGCTGCGCTGGGTAGAGGCACATTCAAACGGGAATCAACCATTCAACCATTCATCCATCCAAGTACATATTCGTACCTCTGTGCGTCCGTCCGTACGTTCGTTGGTTTGTCCGTCCAGCCGTATGGGAAACGGGATGATTTCCCAGTTTTTCGAACAAACATTCATACATACAAGCAAACAAACTAATTTTCTCCTATTGTTCTGCTGCTGTTGCTCCTGCTGCCGCTGATAATGCCACCGAGGGAGGGAGCCATTGCTCTCCATGCACTTGGCGGTTTTACAGAGAACCACTGTGTTTTTTTTTTCTTTTCTCGCTGCAAATGGCATTGAGCAGCGCTGTGAGGAAGGGCCATTGAGAATGCAGAGAACACATCAACAATTAGGGAGCAATAGAGAGTCGGCGCAAACTCCACACGCAGTGTTCTTATGGAATATATATGTATGTACTTGCGTCTATGTCTGTACATGCATGCATATGTTGCGATAAATGTAACAAGCAGGTTTCAGAAGCTTTGATGAAACCACTGACGCTGGGGGACTATGGAGCTCTTATCATAGAAGGGCAGCAATGACAGCGCTTAGATTGTATGTGTGTGTGTTTGTTTGTATGTTTGTACTTACATATGTATTAGTAGCAAAATAGAGGGGCCAAAGTTCAGTAAACATACATTCATACATATATGTATACATATATAGTATATAAAGATGTATGCATGTACGCACCGAAGCTTCTCAAATTGTTTTTTATCTTACAATGAGTAACCAGAACCAAACTTTTTATTTATTTTTTATACTGTTTAAACCTAGCCTTAAGTACTCGTACTTAGCCGACATGCCAAAGAAAAAAAATTTGAAAAGTTATACATATTTTCCATCCACATGTAGAATTCAAAAAACTTGCCCCATTTCAATGTTAGCGCTGCGGCTGCCACTAATCTCGTGTGTTTGTATGTGTGCACTCGCTTCGCTCAAAGTAAACATTATCCTACATATATATGTATATACATAAATATGTGCATCCATATGTATATGTGACTTTCTATACTTATGCATGTACCTATGTGCATACATAAATACATAACTACAGCACACTACATAACAAAAAAACTTGCTTACAAACGCGTATATGTAACAACAAAAATACGGTCGTCAGCTATCACTATAATCATCAAGAGCAGAGCCAACATAGCCAACATAGCCACCATCATCAACGTCCTCGCTTTTTTATCATTATCGGCTGAGGCACTCTCTCCCCACACAACT